CAGATCAGGACCCACTCATCGCCACGTATTGCGGGCAACAAAGAAATCTTATGGTATATTCTTCGGGAGAGAATCTATTCGTTCAGTTCAATACACTGAAGAGGACGGCCGACAGTCAGAATAGAGGCTTTTCGGGTTGGTTTGAGTTCAGCGAGCGTTTCGTTAATCTCGGTATTTATTGATTACTTACTACTAATGATATTGTTTTGATTTATGGTATAATAGTATATAATATTGTGTCTCATATGAAAGATAGTAAAAAATATTCTTAGATTACATTCTATGATATAAACTATTTTTAGTATTCTTACCACGAAATACTATATAACTTTGAAATACTTATAATAATTTAATTTATAGTAAAATATATTTCTATAGAATATTTAGAATATATTCTATATTTTATATTTACTTTACATCAAATATTACGAATAAATTTTAATCAATTTTTAAAAATGATAAGGAATTGAAATAAATTTAATATAACTTTGATATCTGTTTTTTGTTGAATCTTTAAAAATAAATAATTTAATACATTTAATCAAATGAAAGGTTTCATTGGTAAGAATGATGGCCAACATATTAAAGGCACAGAATGTGATCAAAAAATATTGAGCCGTAAAGAATCAAACGGAACCGTTTATTCGCCAAATTATCCATTTTTATATCATTCAAACATTGTTTGCAAATACTATATATACGGACTCCAAGACTCACAACACTTGGAGAGAGTAAACATAGAGTTTGAGAAATTTGAGATTCCGGCCACCGATCCAAACGAGTGAGTCTTTCATTACACTTCTCACATCATATTTACTGAATATTTATATCGTGTTTCCCTTTCTCTCGCTGTCAAACAGTTGTACCGACGCTTACGTCCGGATATTCACTCAAAGTCACGAAACTGTCGAAGAATTCGATTTTGTATTTTGCGGCCAAACTATTCCACCGCCGGTCCTGTCGGAGGGGCCGACACTTGTGCTCGTCTTCAGCAGCGGCTCAACACAAGGACAGGGTTTCAAAGCTCGTTATTTATTCGAGACGGACTATAAAGTGCCGGGCACTCCATCCACACCCGGTCAGTGCCACTTCTCCTATATGAGCGAGAGTACTAAAAGCGGAGACATTAATTCACCCCGGTATCCAAGCAATTACCCGTCGAGCACTTACTGTGTGTATGACTTTTTTGGTGAGCCGGGACAACAAGTGAAACTTGTGTTCAATCACTTTAAAATAAATCCGGATCCGGCGCTCGCTATACCCGGATATAACGACGTCTGTCAGGAAGACTGGCTCGAAATCTATGAAGTGCTGT